TTTGAAACTGTTCTAATTGGTTCTCAACATTTTTCCTTGTTTTCGTCTTGTCCACACTTCAGTTTTTCTACTCTCATTATTTACTGATATGTTCCAGAAATTCCAATCAGTGCTGCGATGTGTCAATTATGGGCAAAAGGCGAGGAGTGTAGGTAATGTAAGTAGAATGTGCTTGGTCACATTCTTATAAGCTTCACACTACTGAGGCACTTTATAGACACTTTTTTTTTGTTGAATGCGAATTGAAAGTTATTCTTATTGTAATGCAGTTAAATGGGTTCCTAGGAGGAGTCCATCTGGCAATTCTTGTGGCATTTGTTTGTCAAAATTTTCCAAAAGGCATATAAGTTTCTGATTTCAAACTCTTTAAGACGTTTGGCTTGGCCTTGGCCTCACCAGTCATGCTGCAGGATACAATGTCACCAGCTGGATTTCCTTCTGAGACACGGTCTTTGATGCCTATCGGTTGCCATGTAGTCCACAAGAGTATTGTCATACCAATATCCCTAGAAGCACATTCTACAAATCAGAGCAGAGCTTCTCCGAGCACATAATTTGACTAGGGTATGTACTATTTACATGGTATCATTATTGTTGGTATAGCTGTCTTTATTGTATGCTAAATAAGGTTTAGTGAAGGAGGACAAAGGAAATGAGGATTTAAAATGTAGAAATTTACTACAAATCCTTTCCCTTTATAACCCTTTCACTCCATTGTGTTCTCTTTCGGCGGGGGGACTGGTGGGTCCAATAGAGAACCCAATCCTTCCATATTCCTTAATTACTATGCATTTATTATAACACATTAAAAGAGAGCCTTTATTTTTCCATTATCTTCCTTCATTCTTCTTTCTTCTGCTTCTTTCTTCAACGGAACTTCTTTCTTGGCATTGCAGGATCTCTTGAGGCCAGATTTTGATTGGCACACCCTTTTTGAGCCTTTTCCATACTCAAAGAAGTGCACGATTTGTCAAAGTTTATCTTTCGGCTTCTAATCCTGATGACTGAGATTGGGTGGGGGTGGGTGAAGTACGTTTTCGAGGTCTTCTTGTCAGGTAAGTGTCTTTACAATGCTGCAAACTAATTCATGTTAACCAGATCTGTGGTGGTTTGTTTGTTAATTAGGAAATGAAATGTAAAATAAGAAAACTGACTACATTCATGTCTTATGAGATCTATTGTATACTAGGCAAATTATAGTAGTCCCCAATTTAAGTAAATTGCTTCATTTGGTCGCATGTTAAGTTTTCCAGAGTCCACATGAGGCCCTATACATTGTATTACTATGGTTTTTTGGGTGTCATGGACTGCAGTCACATTGATGACAGTTTCTGGCACGAATGTCTTTGCGGATTCCAATTAATATTGTTTTCTGTTGAACTCATTTTCTACTCCAGTATACCCTTAAAAACTTTATTCTGTTCCTGTTCAATCATCTTCCATAGCTTTAGGACATGAATTTCACATGCACTAATGATACTCCCTACATTAATATCATAGTTTTGGCATCTTTGCAATTTGTTACGCTTGATGAGGTTTTTAATATGCTGCAGCGTGGAGGATGTACAAGGCTTATGCGACCCTAACCCACAGAATATGCTGATACTGACTGGCAGAGCCAAATGTCGTTTTCTCTACTGGGGCCTGCAACCTGGTAGAACTCAGTTCTTAGATATAGAACTGTTCAAAAGATTTCTGGAAAATATCACCAACGGCTATCAAGGCTCTATTGGACGAATGAAATTATCCATTGTGCAAGCTTCTCAACTGTTGAGGAATTCACAGTTTGACACTGGAAGTGGGAAAAGAACAAAAGCTTGTTGGAAGATATCGACTACAATCTGCGAGTGTTCCTACTTACTCACAGCATTTGCCAAACTACTTTGTCGGTTATGGGGCACCAATGGAGATACTAAGTACCCAAGTGCTGGGGTTAAATTTTCTTCTGTTCCGGCTTCAATTTTGTTTTGCTTTTGGCGGAATTTGATTTTCATGGTTTCTTCGCTACGATTTTTTAACAAATGAATGATGTATGAGTTCTCAGCAAATAGGATAGATAAATACAAGCTGGATATTCGAACGAGAGAGTTGATTGGATTTGTACATATGGGGTATAATTTTTTTTTTTTTTTCATGCAGCACTGTTAAAGATTCAACGCTGTGCTTTTACCTTGTAAACTACTTACATTTATATTAAGAATATAAAAATGATTCTTAAACATTGCTGAATCAGTCTGAAATCAAATAGAAGTCTACTTGAAGATTAGCATGAAGAAAGCTGATTAATGATTTGATGGCATGTTCTTATTTTGATTGATTTTCTCATTTGCCTAGCCATCCTACTGAGAGCTCGGTCGACCGGTCCGGGCCGGTTTAGGTCTTAGTGGGTTTTTTGTAATATTTAAAATTATAAGGTTATTAATTTTGTAGGGTGTTTTGGAGATATGTCAAAAGTTTAGGGATTAATTGAATTTTTTGGGTATTTTGTAAATAAAAATTTAGGGACTAATTGAATGTTTTTTAGGGAATTTTGTAATATATTAAAATTTTGAAGATTATATAATTTTTTAAAAATAAAATTACTCGTTGCATCAATCAGTCCACCTGAGGGTGTGAAAAGAGCTTTGTTAAAGCAAATTTGCCTTTGTTTACTTTTAAAACCCAACCTAAAATTATGAATACATTTAGGTTTGATTTCTCATTGGACGTAAAATAGTTTTTTGTCTTAATTTATTTGAAGGGTGGCATGATGATTGTAGGATAATTTTCCTTTAGCAATAATCGAGATAGTTTAAATGGACTAGACACTTTAGTTAAAAAAATAATATTACCACAAGTCACTAATTTTCAATTATAAACAAAGATTTTGTCACATGAAAAGAAAGCATCCAGAAACTATATAACAAATATATTAACTTAACATATGTAAATAATTGATAGGTCGTCGACACAATGACAACGGGGCTTCGTTTCAATATTCACGAGACCAAATCGTCCTGTCTGTTGTTTTATTGCTTGTCAGATTACTGACTCAAACATTCACTAATTTTTTTAAGAAAGAATTAGAACAAGTCCCACTTGTTTTGTTTTGAAACAACAAAATCCCTCTTGGTGTTAGTTGATTGTTAGAATATTAATGTGGGTTTATTAGTATTACACTACGGTGTTTCCTTCTAACGATCGTAGCCGAGGATCTCCTGATTTGCGAGACAATGTTGGGGTCGTTAAGACGCATATTAACACTATGCAAGAAGTGAAAGTTGACACAACGGTGTACAACGAATGACACTGGAATTAGCAATGTATGAAGTTGAAGAAACATGGTGAGTCATGTTGGGAGTGCAACATGTAAGCAATGGGCAGTAGGGGCGGATCTAGAGTATATTGAGGATGAATTTAAAAAAAAAAAAAAAGTTATATGTAATTTTTTTTCTTTTTATGTCAATTTCAACTAAAAACATAGATATGAATATTATATGCTATTACATTTATTTTGACTCACGCTAATAAGAATTTCTGGATCCGCTATTTGTGGCCGAAAAGAATTCAATGTAATGTCTAAGAGGTTTTCGTGAAGAAAAATAATACAGTTATTGAAAAGAGGGTATCAAATTTATATACTAAATAAGATGATATAATCTTGATTATCTATTAATTATAAATTAATATTAATTAACTGTTAGAATTATATCACGTTATTCGGTACATGAATTTAGTGCGCTTTTTTCGGTAACTGTAGCATTACTCTTTTGTAAAAGGGAATGACTTGGCAAGTTATAAATTAAAGGATAAAATATTGGCTGTCAACCTAACTTTATAAGCTTTCTCACACAGTTTCGACGTGGTAGTTCGTAATCAGTTAGTTTACAAATGAATAGGCAGGACCTATTTACGAACGACCTAATTATGAGCTATCATATCGGGATTGTAAGAGAAAGTTTATGAAATTAAATTGTAAATATAACATTATTCTCAATAAAGTAAACTCTTTTATATGGCAAAACAAATTTTTTTTTATGACCAGGGGTGTCTTGGTTAGCGTGTGTATGTCTCAACTAATTCTTTAAGACCTTAAAACTATCGTTTGGTAAGAGCTCTAGTGATCACTCCTATCAACAATTGTGGGGACTCAAACTCGGGAGACTATATTAAATCCTCCTCTTACTCTTTTACCGTCAAGTGAACTCAAATTTGGGAAATCATATTAAATCATTCTTTGTTCTTTTACCATCCGACGGTCTAGCGGTATGAGTAATACTACACTGATAAACACTTCTCACTAAATTTCTCTCACAAACGTGTTAGCTCGCATGAGTCTCACTTGTCTAATAATGGGTCCTGTCTAACAAAGCCAATTGCGAGCTGTCATATGGTTTAGTGAGAGATGTTTATTAGACTATTATTATTGCTAGCAGTATACAGCATAACAATTGGATGTGTCTCTCTTGGTCCAAGCATGTTCTGAAACTGGCCCATTTATAGAGCTTATATATGTTTATCTCACAATTGACATAAGATGATTCCATTGGAAGCTCAGAACACATACATAAATACGTTAAGGGTACCCTACAAAGTACACTTTTGCATACAAAATTTCAAAAAGAAAATTTTATAATTAAAAACAGTAAATGGGTTATGGGCAGCGATACAATACAAGGCTAACTTTCATCATGTGCTCCTTATAATTCATCACACAATTATTGCTTCCTTCTCTGCCTGTCTCTCTTTTCTCTTTTAGTACTTTTATCGAACACTTATACCTCAAACTAATTGACAGACTTTTACTCTCTCACACACAATGTCGCTGAGGCCAACTTCTCGAACCGAAGTGCGGAAGAAAGCATACAAAAGTGGGGTCGATGCAGAGGACGCTCGTCGAAGAAGAGAGGACAATTTGGTGGAGATAAGGAAGAATAAAAGAGAAGATAGTCTTTTGAAGAAACGAAGAGAGGGACTTGTTCTTCAGTCTCAGCCTTTANTAAAGTAATACAGGGACCCTATCTAGAAATCTGCAGTAAAACCTAACAGATGAAAGTTTTGAAGAGTCTACAACTTATCTAAGGATCATAACTTACACAAATTCTAAACCAACTGTTTCAGATAGTTTTTCACAAACACCGCAACATAAACTATGCATTACCCAAATGAAACATATAACCTAAAATAGTAATCAGGATGATAATACAGGATCGAAAAACACAATCATCCTATCCTTCTTTCTACAGAAAGGAGATGGATTTAAGATAGAGGTAGAGAGATTGACCTATATGTCAATGGTCAGTCCTCAAACCAAGACGGGGCCCAGCCCTATCGCTTGGATGGTCTCTCATCATCCTCTCCACCATCATCATCGTCGTCGTCTGAATCATCCCTATCTGTTCTTTTCCTTTTAGGTGGAGCCTCAACCTTTCCGTCATCTTCGTCGTCTTCCTCTTCATTGATTTCTTCATCGTCACCGTTCTCTACTGGTTCGAAATCACTGGCATCTTCCTCGTCTTCAGCACGACCAACTGGCCGGACGAGGTATTCGGTTCCTAGATCCTCCTACATACAGATATACTTATAGGTAAAATGACACTAAAGGAAGAGGACAGAATCAATCATATACACAAAATACAAGGGAACATGTATAAAAATAACGATGAAAAATAAAAATTGAAAATTTCTTTGAATATAAATCTGATTCACAGTAAAATTTCACATGGAAAAACGACTTTTAATGTCAATAACAAATGAATAGAATAAAAAGCCTTCAGACCCAAATCATTAAATAGCATGAACAGAAAACCAGCTCCACCTTTACAGAAAGGTTAAAAGAAAAATATGAAGGAGCCCAAGTGTCTTTAAATAAACTACACCTAAAGCCCTAAAGATTTTAGGTAATAAAATTGTCCATCCAATTTATACACCAAACCCTGCAACTATGTGCATAACCCAAAAAAAAAAAAATCAAAATTCAAAATCAAGCAGCTGGGCTTTCATCCTTGAGACAGACACAACAATCAGGATACTGTTTACAAAGATTAAAAACAAACCAAAATTGAACAGAAAAAACTGTTATTTTACAGATCATCAAAAGAACAAAGTATTCACCTTAGATCTGATCATATTTCTTAACTAAATCTCATGATTCATACAAACGGAACAAAAAGAAACAGATCTAAAAGTACAACACGTACAAACTAGAGATCCGTCAATTTATTTTTCATATTTACCACAAAATAAAGGGATAAACAAGCAGATCTGATATATTTCCACAGGCAAAATACTCAGAAATATTACTACAAATAAATAAATAAACTAAGCATAGACTGAGCACAAAATTAAGGGAGATTTTTTTACCTCTTCTCCACCGTCCTCGTCCTCGTCGTTATTCTCGTCGTCGTCATCGTCATCGTCGTCATCGTCTCCGTCACCGTCATCATCCTCGTCGTCATCGTCGTCATCTTCATCGTCTTCCTCATCATCAGCTGAATGAACCGGCGGTCCACTAGTTGAGTGCAAAACCTGCACGTCATCATCATCATCTACTTCCTCTTCATCTTCGTCGTCGTCGTCGTCGTCGTCATCGTCGTCATCTTCGTCGTCATCGTTATCTCCGTCTTCTTCTTCCTCTACACCATCTTTTGTCTCAGTCTCCGTCTCTTCTTCGCTTCCTTCACTCAAGAGAATTATATCTTCCTCTTCTTCAGTTTCCGGTTGAATTTTCTTCTCTTCTTCCATGTTCAAAGCTTGCACAAATTTTCTCGAGAAAAAATTAAATTTTTATTTTTTCAAGGAAAAAATTTGGAAAACAGGGGAAGAGAGGCGAGGATAGGAGCTTGTTCGTTCGTTGTACCAGTAGTGTCTGCAACTGTGATCTGAGCCGTTGAAACGCAGGGTTCACGCGGATTGATGACGTGTCAAGATATTGGACGGCTAAGATGAAACAATATGTATTTTTGTGGTGATACTTGATAGAGTCATTGCGGCGCTCTCTTTATTCGATTTCATAGTCAGCTGCCTCTCACGTGCGTTGGAGCGGTTGAGGAATCTAGGGTTAGGATTTTGATTTTCGCGAATATTCTCAATTGGCCCATTTATTTTTTTCTTTCGGACTACGCCGTTTTGTTCAAGGCCCGGATGGTTGGCCCAATTGGTTTAGGTAATCCACTCAAATCATAAACCAAACACCCTCCTAATATTCAATTAAAAATTATAATATAAGTTGGGTAGTAGTCATTGGCGTCAAGGAAGAAGGCGTTTAGACTCACCCACCCCCTCTTGCGTGGGGATTTATATCTCCTTTTATATAAGGAAAATTTGGTGCTTTATTACAGGGTGGTGAATATGACAGGTTTAGCTATTTCAAAGCCTTAATGAGGAAGATTTAAGATTAGATAGAGGACACGAAACACCTAATACTGGATTAATTAATTAATTAATTAATATAGTAATTTTATGGACCTCAACAACTGCCTTATTGGCTAAAATGAGATTGTAAAACAGTAAAAGTTCAAGTCCACCAATGACGGAGTCACTAATGGGCGAGTGGGGGCATGAAATAAATATCAAATATATTTTAAATTGTAATACATGAAATAAATATAAATTATTTTGCATATGAAGATTTATTGACGAAACTTAATGAATTAAAAAGTCAATTTTTCATAGATAATAATATTTGAAAATTTTTCACTTGCCCCGCAAGTGACAAAATTTTGACTTCATCAATACGAAAGTGATTTGTATAACTGTCCAATGAGGGTGCATGTACATTAGGTTCGCTGAAATTGATGATTTTTATCTAGAATAAACAATTTTTTTTCTCACACAAATAATAGTTTAATGACATTTTTTCACCTATAAATTTTTAAAATGTCATTATATTATTTAAATTTATATTATGTTTTCAATTATGACATCGTTACGATCTCATATTATCACAATTTTCTTCTTTGATCATCATATACTAAAACTCTTTAAATTATACTCACGTAAGCCCCACCAATTGTCAATAATTAAGTAATTAGAGTTTGTGCAACCACTTCTTCAAAGTAAAATTCTAATCAATATCAATTATCAAAAATCTTATCGGTTTTTTTTTTTCAAAAGTCTTAATAATTTAAATCAAGTATAATTTTTTGTTTATTGCTAAAATATAAATTTAAATAATAAAATAGTGTTTTAAAGGCTGTGATTGAAAAAAATTCATTAAACTATTATTTAAATAGGAAAAAGACGTTAACTCTTTTATTTATCGTCAATTGATAGTATTTATATATATATTGTACAAAAATTTTCTTTACGAGAATCAAGAAAACTTGTATATAATGAGCACACATACAAGCCCGCCAATGACGGAGCCACTAATGGGTGAGTTGGGGCTCATGCCCCCACTGAAATTGGATTTAATCAAAATAGCATTAAAAATCCAAGCATTATCACCGTTATTATTTTAAAATATCAAATATATTTTTAATTTGTTTCTTTTTGTCGTCATTCAAATACATAAAATAAATACAAATTATTTTGCATATGAAGATTTATCGGCGGAACTTAATGAATTAAGTAGTCAAATTTTCATAGATAATACTATTTGAAATTTTTTCACTTGCCCCGACTGTGACAAAATTTTGACTTCATCAATACAAAAACAGTATGAACCAATGAGGTTTGTTGAAATCTTTTTTTCTCAAACCAAATAATGATTTAATGATATTTTTTCATCCATTAACTTTTAAAATATCATTTTATTATCTAAATTTATATTCTGTTTCCGATTCTGACATCGTTACGACCTCACACCGCCATCATTCTCTTCTTCCGATCATCACTCACTAAAACCTCTCAAACCCTACTCTTGTCGACCCCACCAATCACCGACAATCAAGCGATTAGAGTTTATATAGCCACTTCTCTCAAGTCAAATTCCGATCATTCTTAACCACAAAAATTCAACTTTCAACCACCAAAAGACTCTTCAAAAGCCCTACAGCCTGGAAGTATGCTCTCTATTCGCTACCATAATATAAGTTTGGGTAGTAAAGTAGTATTTTAAAAGTCTGTGGGTGGGAAGATGACATTAAACCATTATTTGGGTGAAAAAAAATCGTTAACTCTTTTCTTTACCGTTAATAGATTGTATTTGTATATATTGTACAAAAAAAAAAATCTTTATGAGAATCGGGAAAACTTGTATATGATGAACACACATACCATCAATAAACAAAGATGTATATACGTCGCATATACGAATACAATGTGTTTTCATTGATTGGTTGTACATGTATTTGTTGTATTCAAGACTTTCTCCTTGAAAGTATTATGCAATTGGCTCAGTTTAATATATGCTAAAATTGTTTAATGATATCAAGATATGGGTAAGGTTATCTCATATAAACTCTCCAAGTGAAAAAAGTCTATCCAAAAAGGGTTACGAGCATTAACGGTTATGTCACGCCCACGGCCCCACACAGGAGTTCCTCGTAGTGCCCACACAGGTACGTGACTCACTAGTTACTGTATCCCCCCCACCCCCCCCCCCCCCCCCCCCCCCCCCCCCCCCCCCCCCCCAAGGGATTTCTTTCGTCTCTACCCACCATCTCGACCAAGAAGGGTGCTATAGCAAATGGAAGACACCATAGTCCATCAGACAGCTGCCGCGGGCGTGACAGGTTATCGGAATATAAGGTTTCAGGTTCGATCCCCATCTAAGCATCCACAATTTAAGTGGGGCACTATGTTGTGGGTTGTTACATTAGTGTCTCCCGAGGATTAATGAGGTGCGCATAAGGGTTCGGACACATTGGTTCCATAATATTATCAAAAGATATGCAATACAAAATATAAATAAATATTTGCATGATTAATTTCCACATTATTAACCACCTTTAGATGGTCAGATGGAGCGATAGAGACTCTTGAGTATATTACTCAAGGGGTTTTAAGTTCGATTTTTCTCATTTGTTAATAAGAGGGCCACTAGAGGGTTTACCCAATCGTTAATTTTAAGGCTCCGAATAATTAGTTAAGATATACATAAACATGATCATTAAAAAAAAGAAAAAAAATCCACATCGTTAATCAGTTTCAACGTCAAAGAATTTAGGTTTTGTTCAACTGCCAACTTGTCTAAATAATGAAGTCCCCAAATGCCAACTCCCAATTGCCGAATAAATTTCACATGTATTGTTGCTTTCTTAATTATAATTATAAATTCATATATTAATTAATTTTCAAAATTAAATTTATAAATATCTATAAACTTTTTTAATTTTTAATCTGCAAGATAAATCATCAACTAATTAGTCAAGTCAATCCGTGCTGTAACACCTGTAACACGTGGACTTAATAAATTAACGTAACACACAGACAAAAAAAATATCCCACTAATAATAATTGTTCGTGTAGTGAATGCTAGAAGGGCCTTAGAATCTCAGAGAGAGACTCCCAGACCCAGAGATATGTGTGCAAGGTGGTCGGCGTCATATTTCCGGTGGCCGGACTTCGAATTTTCTTTTTCGCCGTCGTTTTTCCGGTGGCCTGAGTTCGATTTTTCTTATTTCACAAGTGGGTGGAATTTGCATCAGAGTTTCAGATGGTTCGATTTCTCCATTGATGACTTGTTGTGGACGTTTGTTACTGTGTTCGAGTCTTTTCTTTTAGTCTCCATGCTCTGTTATTTCTTCTTGTTCTGTGGTTGTACCCTTTGAAAAAAAAAAAAAAAAAAATGTAGTTCTTTTTTTATTTTTCCCCCCCCTTAAAGAGTTCATGTGTATATTAAACATATTCAGTGTAATTTGCAGGCATCTAACAGCTTGATTGGTGAGTTTATTCAATTATGATGAGTGGTTTGATTTTTTTATCGAATTTTTTCTCTGGGTTTTTAATTTGTTTCTTCGTGGGGATGAGCTGGTTTCTGGGTTCATAAGATGGAAGAATTACGGCGAATTGCATTGTGTTGAATTATTAATGGTGAAATGGGATTGAATTTGAAGTTACATTTTGAGTGGTTGAGACAAGTAACCACAGCCTACAGTTGGGGCAAAGTGTTTGAAAAAGCTTTAACAAGTTGGGGGATCTTTTTTCCAGGTACAGTACAGCCAATTTCATGAACATTTAAAATCTTTTATGAATCAGCAAGAAGAGTGCATTATTTTAGGCCTCTTCACTCTGCATTTCACATTCATAAATCATCTTTTGTTTGGCATTTAGTTATCCCTGGATGCCTATCTTTATGTTCCATCTTATCTTCAAATGCTTTATGAATTTCACTTTCATGTTATGGGTTCAGCTACTTGTGTGTGATGCTTCAATTTGAAACTCGGATTCTTCTTTAAATTTGTTGAATGATTGGGGAGTTTATAGAAGAGTAAAAGATTTGTTTAACTTCAACCCTCAAAGACAAGGAATTCCACAGAGACAAAAATATACTAGTAATTGATTAGTGTGTAGAAATATCGCCCCAGCTTCCTGTATGAAATGAAAGTTCGTGGCCCTTAGTCACATCATATTTTAGAGCTTACAAAAGAAGGGAAAATAACCGTTCTTTTTGGTAGTGGTGTTCAAAAAACCGATTGGAACATAAACGGCGGGGATTCGAGGTTTGGGTTCGGTTTCTATCCGGAATTGATCATCAACGGATAGGTATTAATTTTAAATTTTTGGAATTGTTATTATAGAGTTTTGGTTTCTATAGTAGAAAACCGAAATTATAAATCGGACTAATATAAAATAAAATTAAAGAGTAACGGTGTTAATAAAAACTTTTGTAAAAAGAGTAATATGAGTGTATTTATATTTATACTTTATAATATTTAGGGGGTGTTTGGTTTAGGGAATGTGAGATTACTGAAAAGTTAGATTACCTTGAAGATTACTGGAAATCTTTAGGAAAATGTGTTTGGTTAATTGGTGAGTATGTTATATTAATATGTTTAGTTGACAGGAATAAATTGGTGGGTATGTTATTTAAATTA